TCTGTCAATTGATCACAACATGACCCATAATTTGATAAATAATTTCGAAGAAATTGTTAAAAGACCGAATATAGAGCTCGTCGTCTTAAAATTTAAAACAAACTCTAAATAAACATATTTGTATATATGTGTTATTTATGGAATCAGATCAAAATCTTTGTATATATGTGTTAAAGACTCTTAGAGGGTTTTTAGTAGGTTTTTTTATGTAAAACGTTTCAATATGAGACACTTTTGTATCTTTTATAATAAGAAGTTCTTCAAATAAGACAATTTTGTGTGTGGGGTCTCTGATGATCTTGTAACCAGGGCCCCCGGAAAGATTGTTCCACCACGGCTACGTGACGCGGTTTGCCTTCGGTATTAACTCCATCGTGTCCCTTGTACGGGAAGTAGTGAGCGCATCGCTATTTGGGGACGACTTTGTTATTTTTTCATCTAGAAGTCTAAATGCCAGAGAAAGGCAGCTTTAGCTTGTTCTTAATAGATTGCATCTGTAGAGTGAGTTTTCTGGGTTTTAAGTTTTCCCTAACAAACGTTTTGCAAATTCCCTATCTCTCAAGCAACCCGAGCTTTCCTTAGGGGTTCACTAGCTTTCCTTTGTTGACAAACCTAGGTTCCTGGCACTCACCTTGAACAGATCCTTGACGTGACATGACCACATCCGTAGATTGCTAGACTGATGAGTTTCTTCTCTAAACGTAGGGCGCAAATTTAGTGTGAATGTTTGCGAAGCAGACGCTTTTGACTTCGGGGTTGTAAAGAGCGCTTATTCGCTCAGTAATGGACGACGGGTGCATAGTTTATGGATCAGCTTCCTCATCAACCCTTCGTCCTCGGAATAGTATCATAATGCTGGCATCCGCATTGCCTCTAGTGCATATCGCACTAGTCATCTACTTCGAGCTCATGCAGCAAAACTTTTGGACTTACCGCTTCACCCAATCCATTAGGTTATCGGCTTTTGTACATTCTGAAAACACCACTGCCCAGACCTAATACCGAAATTATAGCCGTAAATTTATTTATACCGGTATAGAAATACTTTCACTTCCATTATATCTTAATTCGTAATACCTTTAAAAATAAGATTGTTAAATACATGTATTTTACCACTATCGGACGTCTACACCCGTAAATTACGTTTAAATAGAAGTATTTGACCCACATTTTTTTAAGAAAATACACTTCCATGCATTACACTATCACACATGTCGGGCGACCAGTAGGATCGTAGTTTGTTCCATCGAATGGTTGCTCATCTTACACAAAGTATTCGCCAATTTTTACGTGTTTTTTCTTTACCTGCCAGATCAGTCTTAACACTATGAGAGCAAAACAGAATTATGGTATAGGATTTATATAAGAAAATATAGTCAACATGGGTAATGATTAATTCAAATACATGGTTAAAGATCGAGGATATATAAACCTCAAAGTACTTGTACATAATCTGGAAGAATTGTAGGAAAATACGCGTTTCGTATGATTTCAGTGCACATACAACAGACAACAATAAACATGAACCGAAAGCACTGTAGAACCACCACGCACTCATTTAAAACTCGCCCGTTCTATAGCGAATGACGCTGCTGAGAAATTTTCTGTACTGAAAGACCTGAAATATATGGAATCGGGTGACTGCAAAGGTGATGAGGTGGTTGCCTTGACTGCAACTGGCACTGTGAAACGTCTTGAGGTGTGGTATGAACGGGAAAGTATGAACCAGCTAAACGTAAAGTTGTGGTACTTGCCTTGACTACAACTGGCGCTGTCTGGACTTTAACTGGTTAAGAAAATAATACTTCCGAACCATTGTTTGAAAATGAAGGTAAACAGATTCGTTGTTTGAATGCCCTTGGCATGGCATGCTGTGCTTGTGTTGCGCGCAAAGTTATGGCAGGTAAGGAAAATAACGTTACGAGACAAACGACAAAATTTAATGGAGGATTATTCCTAATATATACATACACACTCGATGCCCAGAAGATGGATAAGAGACATAGTTGGAGGGGGAGGTGCGTTACGTCGGGTAGTTATTCCCGAAATGCCCTCCAGTCCCTATTAACTCTTTCTCCCTTGGATCACTTCACTACAAAGATACATCTGTTCCACCGACTATTGTCTCGGCGCTATGAGCTGGTAGTATGTTGCGTACCGGTTCATATGGGAATCGTAGGCAATGAGTTAGCAGACAAAGCCGTGAAAACAGCGAGTCGAAAGTCATCTATTGACATTCTTTATGTCCCATCAGCAGATTTAAAAGCATATATGAAAGGCTCTATGTTCAGTGCATGGTATGCAGTGGCACACACTATCTTTAAATTAATGGTTAAAGATTCTGTAAATCCTTGGTGTACCTCGTGTCGTGCTGCAAGGCGTGAAGAAATAACCTTAACTCGTCTTCGCATCTGTAATTGCCACAAGAAGTTTCCTCTGAAGAAAACTTCTCCCCCATCTGCAACACGTGTGAAACGGACATCTCCATGGAACATGTCCTACACTGTAGAAACTTTGTTGGCAGCCTACGTAGACATCGTCTGGGCAACTCGCTTCTTGATGTGCTCGACAATGACTAGTCCGCGCTGTCGAACCTCTTCTGCGGGAAAGCGGAATATATAACATTATCTGAGAGGTCAATAAGGGGGAAATTAGCGATCTGCTGGTTATGAGCGGAGTTCAGGATTCACGTGTTCGTAAATTACCCCCACTACTTGCCAAATACTTTGGATACCAACCTTTGGAATTCACTCGCTGTTTCACCATGTTTCACCTGCAATTACTATTTTTCTGGTTTTACTTTTCGATTTATGCATATATGCGGGCGTCTAGAGGTCGGCCCCAATGATTGGGTTTTGTTCATCCACCAGGTATAGCACATGTCACAACCCAAAAGATAACTACTCTTCGCCGGATGTTTGGCCGTTAGCCCAGAGAAAAATCATGTTGAAATTGTGCACGCCTGTTTGGGATTGAATGGGAACATATTCTTTGCCCTCCGAAAAAAACTTTAACCTGAAGATACGCCAATGGATATTATGAATTGTATTGAGTATACATTATAGTGGATGGTCTGTATTTTGTGGAAGAAAAATTTTAAATAGCGAAAAACATTTGTCATTTTTTATTTAAGTTATTTTCAGGAAAAAAACATTTATTTGGATTGTTATGATTCTGTAAATTCGGGAAGATATGGCTTTTTCCATTAGTCGAAACAGATGGAACTACCTTTTTAAAAGAATAATTTTCACAAATATTTGTTTCTTTAATTTGTGCTTCTCTTCCCACGGTGTAATGTTCTTCATTAACATATCCGTGATTAATTTAACTTGATGTTGCACGGAAAAAATAAACAGCCTTAAACAAAAAATAATGAATAAAAATCAACAAACAAACAAAAATTTAAACAGTGAATAACACTTGTAAAAAATTATTTCATTTTACTAATAAGCATTTCACAAAATTGTTAACTCAGTAAAGTTATTTTGTCGGTTTGTATGGATAGCGTGTGTATCATGATTTTTCATTGAAAATACCAATATAACCGTTATAGATATCCTACCAGAATAGACATCTTACAATGGTATTTTACTGGTATAATAGAATAAAGGTATTTGGAAGACGTACCAAAAAAAAAAAAGAGAAAAATAAGTATTTTCATTACCTTTTTGATCCCTGTCACTGCCTAAACCTCCAGGCATTGCATTTTCAGATGCTAGTGAAAATGATGCTACTAAGTGTTTAACCTCCCTGAATCCCCTTCCCACATAAAACACACATGCAACACTATTTCTCTGTGGAAACTCTGTGAAAACTCCTTTGCCTAACCCCAGATAAAAAACAATGCATTCTTCCTCAACTGACTCCTCCCCTTTTGTGTATCTGAAACATTTCCACGAGATGAAAGCAACTGAACTTGAGCACACCTTCTTTTACACTGATGGTTTTGTCATCAATGATTGAAGGGCTTATATGTTCTATTGTTGAACAGCTGCTTGCTCATTTCAAGTACACTCATTCTGTAGTGGAATCTCTGCTGAGAAGTTAACTTGCTCCAGGCCCTGTCATACATTAAATCTGGTTCAACGCAAGTAGTTTTATGCAGCAGTTACTGTAGTGACATTTCAGTCTCTTTTATCCCTTTCATCCTACTTGACGGCAACAATACAACACTTCATCCATATTCTATTGAATCACTTCTATGAGCTGCTAAGTATTTTCAAGTTGCAATTATAATTTGGTTTGTACTTCCCCTTTTATGTTGTTTCCATTATAAATACAGTACTGGACAATAATTTACTTTATTAAATTTTCCTTTTACTTTATTCTTCTTCTCCTTTTCCTCCTCTTCTCCGTCTCGCTATCCCTACCCTCTTCCTCCACTCCACAGAACCGGATTTACATGAAATATGCCAAATGTTTCTGTGGCATTATCTTCTTTATTTAATTACTATGTAAAAATTTTACCCACACATATCAAGTACCTTTGTAGTGTTTCCACACACTAAGTGTGCCAACATTCTATTACTCTGAGGCATAATTGCAATGTCATACATATCTTTCAAGTGGGGATTCAGAAACTGCCTAAGAAGAGATACATTTTAAGAAATAATTTTTCTTATTCATATTAAATCACATTGAGATCCAGAGAGGGGGCCCATGAGTGTTCTTGTTATACATATACATCTTTTATATTTCAAGCTAACAGTTAAGAAAAATTATTATTTCAAAAATGTTTAGCAGTGAATCCAAACTGAAGTCTCCTCTCCAATACTTTCCCTAAGATCCCAGGTTACTTACAGCTGACATTGCAACGGAATGGGAAAATGAATTCACTGGTCACCTCTAAATCAGTGACATGCGGTGGCCAAGATTTGCCTCACCACCAACTTGGTCACTAACCAGTAATAAATCTTAAAGAAGAAACTTTTTAAAAATGGCCTTGAGGTATTTTCTTGTGTAATGATGTCTCTAAAGTGATGATCTGAATTTTTCTGCAGATTGGCCTCCCCATCAGCTACTTCCAGGCCATGCTGGGCGGGTGAATTGTTTATTGTACCCTCATCATCACCATCCACGCTATGAGCGCTCTCATCTTGTATCTGGTGGTGTCGACTTTGCTGTCTGCTTGTGGGATTTGTATGCTGGGACGTTGTTGCATAAATTTTGTGTGCACGCTGGAGAAATAACGCAGCTCTTGGTACCCCCACCAAATTGTACTGTAAGTCGCTCTCTATATTTAATTTTTGAAGCTAGAATGTTAATTTCTATACTTTCACTTAATGTTTTAATGTTGCTTTCTACGTTTTCACTTCCACAAACCCTTCCTCCAGCAGAGTTTCCAATTATTGTTTTTCTATGAAATAAAGAGTGAAATAATATTGATTTGTTGTATAATAAATATTCAAAGAATTGAATCATATCATAATTTCACAATAATGTTGCACCACTAAAACATCATCATTATTGGGAGTAGTTTAAGATATTTTGTGCTTCCATTTTTAACTGCTATACAATTAATAATAAAACTGCTAATCTTTATTGTTTCAAATCTAACAAGAATTTTGAGAAATATATTGATATTTTAAAAAAATCAAAGAATAGTAATATCAAATAACTGAAAATTTAAAACTAAAAACTTTCTTCTCTATCTATTAGTATATATATTCTTTTCCCCTTTGCCAAAAGTGGTGAAATCATGATGTTTTTATTTTAATGTTCTTGTGCAGTGGAAATTGTGTTTAATTGAATGAAATTAATCTAAACACTTGTATTAAATTCTAGACATAGTATCTCTGTGTTATTTGTAAATATGTCATGTGACGGCTCACAAGGGAAGGTCACTTGGTGTAACCAGCAGCAGACAATGGGGCAGTTTGATTCGCAAACTAAACGCAAAAATAATAAAGAAAATCATAATTTTAGCTCCGGCGGTTATTTAGAAATTATGAATGTGTAATAGAATTAAAGATAACCACTAACAGTTTGTCGAAAATTGTATATTAAATATTATAATGTAAATATATGTTCAAAATAACTACATCCATATTTATTTAAATACAACATAAGATTTTCCATTCATATCACTCGATATTTATTTAATGTTTATTACATTTTTAAAAATACTTATTTATTGATATTGCCAAATATTTAATATTGACATAGTTTTTTGACTTATCGATCTTTTTCAAGTAACGTCAAAAAAATTGAAGATACTGAAATCATTGCAATTTAAATTATTACAATTTTATTCCCACTTGTCAGTTGTCAATTCGCAATTAAGAATGAACTAAAAAATAGATTAATATAGAGTACAAAATTTCATGAACGCACTTATATAAATATATGTTCGAAAGAAATTAATATATTTACATTTTTGTAATTAAAATTAAGCTTTTAGAAAATGTAAACATTATAGGCAGCTGTAAAGGGATAAAAGTAGTTTTGATGAGTTCTTTGTTCAGCGATTGTAAATACATTGGAATAGTTTCAAACACAAAACTTTAAATATTGCTAATCATCATTAACCATATTAAAATCAAAATATTATGGTGTTAAAAAAATGTTACAATAAGATTTACAGCTGAAAAGTATTTTAATGTAGTAAAACCAATATAAAAAATCAATATTTTAAGCTCAACAAATAATTGGAGATTATGAAACCTGTTTTCGAAATATATTTATTTTTTAATAAATAATAACTTTGTCAGCACTATAAAATTCGCATAGAATATTTTCCAAAGTAACTGTAAAGTCTATAAACGTGTATAAAATAGCTTACATAAAAATCAATTATTTGAAAAAATATGATAACAATAAAAATTTGTTAGTAGGGATCGCCAGAGCTAAAATTATGATTTTCTTTATTATTTTCATTCATTCAAATTTGTTAGTAGGGATCGCCAGAGCTAAAATTATGATTTTCTTTATTATTTCCCATCATCCGCTGTTGGTTTACACCAAGTGACCTTCCCTTGTCAGTGTGAAGTCACTTGCCTTTCACCAAGGAGGCCAGGGTTCGATTCCCTTTGAATCCCGGGCACTCTCTTGTGAAATTTGTTCCAACGACACCAGTTCGGCTGCTTCACAAGGGCTAGTCCAACCCCTGTGAAGTGTCCTAAACCCTACCCCAATCCTAATTCCTTCCCAATTCTGGCCACAGGGTGATGATGCAGAAGCGCGTAGTAGGAGGCGCTTATGCGAAGATGCTACCTGGCGGTCCTCTTGACAATTGAATGCAATGAGACGTGAAGGATATGACACATTGAAATATTAATGGAGGATTACTCTTGCACTGATGTTAATGGAGGATTACTCTGATGGCGCAAAGCAATCGACATCCTCCCAAGGGGATTCGAGATGTGTTTCGTCAATTGAAGGTGCAATAAATTGAAAAAATAAATAATTAAAAAGATGCATAATTCACCCTCGGGAGGTGTCACCCGCATCCAGTATATTATTGTTTGTTATTCCATTAATACTTGAGATAAATTTTTCCCAGCATAGCTTTGTAGGAATGAATTATTTTAACTAGTTGCATTTGCAAGAATTAATCAGTTGTAAATTTTGCCATCCATCACAAGACAGAGAATACATCTTTGAGCTGCATCAACCTCAAGAAAGAACATCAATAGTGAAGAAAATACATGTGAAGTATTCAAAAACCAATAATAAGACAATTAATTTCAAAGACACTATTAGAAATGGAAATCACCTATTGAAATATTAGTAGGTGCTTTAGTTATAAAGACTGTAAAAAGTAATGTATACACCTGTATATTTCTGGAAAAAAGAAATTGAATAGAAAAAGTAAGCAGGTTGTCATGATATGCCACAACACCATAAAATTATAAAATCTGCACATGTTTATAGTTAATAGTAGTTAGTAGTAACTAGTTTATAGTAGTTAAATCTGCACAGCAATATGTTTTAAGTTCTTTACAACCCATTTATATTCACTTTGTAATAATTATTTTACTTGTGCATACAGTAATGAAAAATAAAAGGTCTATTTACATTTTTTCATAAATAGTTGTCTTTGTTGTAATTGTTTTCTGAAATTGAAATACAATGCTTTCTGTCTGTTGTATCTTGGTCTCTTTCTATTTCAGCCTCGTATTCAAACATGTGTGTGCAGTGTGGCTTCTGACCATTCAGTAACTCTGCTGAGTCTAACCCAGAGACGTTGCTATGTACTAGCTTCACGGCATCTTTTCCCTGTTGTTTCTATAAAATGGAGACCTTTGGATGATTTTATGGTTGTGGGATGCAGTGATGGAACAGTTTATGTATGGCAAATGGAGACAGGTATGAAGATATAAAAAATCTTAGTGATAAAAAAAAGAAGCAAACAACAGTCATTTGTTTGGAACAGAAAATTTGAGTGACTGCAGGTCATTTATTTTCCTTATTATTCAGTATGTGAAGGTTTATTGTAATTTATATTTATTTGATATTTGTGTTTGATCCTTTCTGCTCAGGTGATCCCTATTGTTACAGCTGCTTCCTCAGCTTTCATTATTTGTTACTCTTACACTGCAGATTATTCAAAATTTTATTATACCATAGTTATGTTGACAAAGTGTTTGATTTGATATGAACAGTTTGAAAAAGTTTTCTTGTATTTTTAGATGTGAAGAACTACTTTTGAAGTCCTACTCTCAAAATTGTAGAAGATCACAATGTTTGTTTTGATCGTGAATTTAATTCGTGTTTTTCTAATGTATTGTGATGCAACATGGCTACTGCTAACCGCAGAACATCCGTGAGTTCGTCCTTTCAGGCGGAGACTCGTGTATGCATGAGACTCACAAAAATTTATTTACTCTCAGGAAGGATTAGAATTACTCCTACCCCACACCATTTGGGAGACTATGGGACAGAAGGAAGTTTGTTATTACTACTAATTTCAAAAGCAGTCCTTGATTTTAAATTTTACTGGTATTCGATGGGACAGTTTATATCTTTTTCCATGTTGATACAACTAACTCAACCGTTTGCCAACTCATCTCATTTCCTGGTCGTCAGGCTCTGTTCCAAAAGATGAAGAAAGAGAGAAAGGGCCATGGCCTCCTGCACGTGCCCTGCTGCAGAGGCAGTGAATGGAAGTGATGACTTGTCCCTTTTCCACACGCTGACAGTGTCCTTAGTCGTTGCTGCCTCAGTTGGGCCCAATTCTCTGAGCTTGCAATGCCACTCCCAATGGCGCTGTTTCCCTTTGTGTACTAGCACATGGTCTTAGTCTACTGTGGGTTAGCCCATGGTCTTTGTCTTTGTACATTATTGTATGTTACCTTTCCCACCTCCTACTTACATGCTGTAATTGGTGGAGGCGTCGCTGGGATCTGGTCACATGTCTGATTCACTTCATTGGCTAGCTTCTGTCCTTTAGTCGAGATGTGTGTGTAGTACTACTGTCGAGTGGAGCCCTACCGTTGCTTTTCAATATCCCACTTTTCTTGAAACAATGGGGTCCCTGTCCTCCATGAGATGTTATAATTCTCTGTTGGTTCCCCATCTGTCATTCTCTCTTTCTCTTTCGTCATAGTCATCATGGACCATGTTCTCCCCACAGGTCTGTAAGTGGGTCGCCTGGTCACTTCCTTCAAAAATGCCATAAACTACTCTGCTCCTCCCTTCAGGTCTGATCTTACGACTCTGTGCATCGCAAAAGCCTTTTGTGGCCATAATTCCTTCCAGCACTGCATGTACCCTCACTGTATCCTTTTTGCAATGTTTTACTATTTTCATTTTAATGAAAAATAAACCTTCACAGTATACACGAGGAGTACTCAAAGTATATTCTAAGCTGAATAATATAAGCCCTGAATTGATAAGTGTTATTTTATACCATTTTGCACAGAGATTATTTGTAGCAATAGTTTGAGAGAGGAAGATAAAATAAAAGTATGAATAATTCTGTATTTATTATTTTATGTACTAGCAATAATTTATCTTCTTCAAGAAATTAATTTTTAACTATTAATGATCTTTTTTCAAAAACTAGGAGCTTAAAAGATTTTGTGGTCTTTGCAGTGTGAATATTTTGTATTTAGATGTATTTTTAACATTTCCAATTAACTAAAAATACCTGTATCTGAATACACATATTCATATCCATGTATCAATAGGTCACTTGGATCGTGTCCTCCATGGCATTGGTGCTGAGGAGGTGCTGTTTGCATGTGATGAGACAGCAGCTGCAGGAGCATCTGGTGGTGGGGCTGCTGCTGGGGAAGTGGGGCTTGCCAATCCAGCTGTGCACTTTTTTAGAGGTCTTCGTCATCGTAATCTTTCTGCAATTCGCCATGCCACACAGGTTTGAGGTTTTGCAATATTCCTTTTTTTCTGGTTGTCAAATGACTGCATCTTCAGGACCAATCTTGATGTAATGCACATTAGGAAACATTTGTGTTGTAATTATATTTCCCCTTCTCCAAGTACACAAGTATTATAGAGCTTTGACTGATAGTTTTGTTTTATGTTCAATTCACAATTGGCATTTCTTTTCTTTAGAGAGGTCTTCATCAGTTGCAACAGTTACATCAGGGAGCCCACCAAGATCCAGGCGATGTCCCACGGCCTCGAGGTCTACCATTAGATGTGCAAGGATTGCGTACAAATCCTCGTGATCCTGAAGCTCACGTATTGTGCTTTGATATTGAAGCACTAATTGGTAAGAAATTACTTTTCCACATACTAATGGTTTTATATTTATTTACTTACATTTCAATGAGAGACAGTTCAAAAACTTTTCCATATCCATTTTATGGGTGCTTGCATTATGCAAGGAATAATTCTTCCCTTACCTGCGCTGTAACTTGATGGAAATACAGGGTGTAATTGAGAGTAATAAAATGTGTAAAGAATATACCCAGACAACATCAATGAAACAAACTAAATGAAATTTTCTTACAAATGTCTTACTATTACAAACAACAAATTTAGTATTCTATTATGTTGAATAGGGTGGTCCTTATTTTTCAGTTTTTGAAATATAAAACTGATATCCCCATTAAATGTTCTGAATTGGTTGAAATTAAGCCTCAAAAATTATTTTTCAAATCGTAAGATGTACAGAATGCTCAGTGGCCTTGAAATTTCTCTATTGGATGGTGTATTCACAGTCTTTTAAAAGGGCAATATGTTTCATTATGTGAATGTCGATTCAAATATTTCTGTATATGAATTGAAACATCAATGTAATATAAGTAATATTATTTTGTTTTCTAATTAAAGTTATAGTTACTAGAAGACAAAAATACTTATTCAGAAATATACTTCAAAGGAAAATATCTGAAAAAATTTTGAATAAATTGAATTGAATTTTACTGTAGTCTACATTTTACTCCAGTGCGGAAGAGCAAGTAGATAAGAATGATCACTCCCAACACCATTGACATCTGGCAGCAATATCACATATATGCCAAAAAGAGGCAGAAGGTGATATTCATGCTGAATGTGCTTTTCTCTCTATATATAAGATGCTTATCAGTGTCAGACAGGGTGCCGCCACAGAGTTACATTATTTGATTCTTTAATAGGACAAGATAAGCAGGTGTAATTTGCGTTGTTCAGACTTACAACTATTATACGAAGTATTATATCAATCATCATTCAAAAGACTAGAAGAATTAAAAGCTACGTTCCAAAGATTAGGTTGAACTACAACCATGGAAAATTGATAGCAAGTTTAAAAGGTGAAGAGAAGGTGGGTGATTGCGAATTCTTCCTTCCTCTAATGACATTGATCACCTCTTTAGTGGCTAAACTTATCACTGGATCAAGACAAGCCATATGCATTGATACAAATGATTACTGGAATCCAAGAGAATGTGGAGGTGTAAGGTGTTCATCTTTGATACCATTTCTTCTAATAATGAATGAGTGAAGTTTTTGTACTTCTCATAGCAACATTTGGCTGTGATTTGACGTATAGTAATTGGATAACTCGCGGGTATCCATTTCACTTTTCATTACTTTCAAAAAGATCTCATCAGATCCACCGATTGGGGGCAAGTGAAAAGTCATCCAATGCTTCAGTCTACATGAGAAAATGACCATTTTTTCTGGATTCTTCCAGAATATCCCAAGACATTTCTTGAAGAAACATGCTTTTGGAGATATTAAGCACCTCTAAGGAGTATTGATTTTATAATGAAACATAAACATTTTCTTAAAAGTATTTCTTTTTATTCTTTTTCAGCTTTCTATGCTTGATGATGGGCAAGCCAGCTAATGTATTATGTCCCAAATTTATTTTTGTTATTAATTTACATAGCACAAACAAAAATGTTTAGAATAAAAAACTGCCAGAGGCACCCCACTCGTGTTGTAAATTGTATTTGATTTGTTATATTCTTGACATTAAGTTGAAGAGTAGTGTTTTCTATGTATATGACCCTTTCCAGAGCCTCGGAAATATCACTGTAGAAAAAAAATTCAAAATGTTTTGGCGAAAGATCATCAAAGATTACTTAAATCCTGGAATTACTGATAAATTTGTTCTAACCAAATTTGATATTGTCGAGAATGAAAAGCTACTGTTATTTTTTTGGGAAGAATTTCCATCAATATTCCTGTAAACTCAGAATTTTACCTCTTATAAGGACCACCCTAATTTTGAAGAATGGCTAACTTGCTTTTCATATCATGAATATGTTCTCTTTTTGAACTTTCATTAAAGTAGAATATGTTTTGGTTGCATATTGACATAATCTAAAGGTATTCATTGGTTTTCATTTACCTTATTCACTTAATCTCGTCTGCTCTTTCTGTCTTGGATACAGTTTTTGACTTGGTCCAATCAAATTCATTTCCACGTATAACAGACTTCACAGCTGACTTGGATTAACTAACCAACAAACGTACACCCACTATTATAGCGGGTGACTTGAACGCTAAACTGACAGTTTGGGGATGTAAACATGACAACCAACCAGGGAGAGACCTACACAGCTACTTCCTAACCAGACCTTTCTTAAATCTTCTTGCATCACAGGAACCCACTCACATGATAAACGGCGAGTTGATCTCAGATCATTTACCAATAATCTTCACTTCTTACTCTCTAGCCCCACCCACTCGTCCATCTGATACCACAGACTGGCGAAACTTTTAACATCTCATTTCCAAAAAGATAAAGTCCTTCATTCCTTAGTACCTGCCAACAAGTCGACATATACCATTTTAACCATCAGATTAAATCATATGAACATCCACCTTATATTCTACACCACAACGCTTCCAAAACCTTCCAAATGAACTCTTTGACCTTATCAAACCAGAAAGACAAGCACAAAGACATTTCTGACGAAGTAGACAAAAAAAAGACAAGAGCATCTACCAACAGTTCCAACGCGCTTTTCATAACAAACTGACGCAATACCACACAAACAGGACATGACTGTTTGGGACGCAAACTTGAAACATACTGACCAATAATGGAAAGTAATTAAAACCACGGAGGCTGCCCCACAACCCGTCTCCCCTATAATGCTATCAGATAATACCCTCGCATATGATCCCAAATTTATTGCTGAAGCCTTTGCCCAATTCCACTCTTCCAAATTCCCAGAAACCAAACCTCATCTCTCTTCACATGATATCCTCAACTTCCTCAAAACTCTGCCACTCCAACCTATTCAGCAAGAATTGTGAACTTTCACTTACGACAAACAATGAGACAAAATGTAACTTCTCAACCCGACAAAAGCCGCAGACCCCAATGGAGTTCAGACAATGGCACTGAAACACCTGACTCATCATGTCCTGACATCTTCTATGCTTGCATACGTTTATCCCAATACCCCTTCATCTGGAAACATGCCACCATCATCACTATCCAAAAACCAAACAAAGAACACAAACAAGCTAGCAGCTACAGATCAATCAATCCTTCCTTAGAAGGATGTAGTGCAAAAGAGGAACAACTTTCCTATGTTTCACAACCATTATCTTGTACAAAATGTTTTGTATGACATCTTTAACAAATATAACTTTTCTTTTTAATTTCAAAAGATTGAAAGAACCTGTGAACATTTTTATGTGAATAAATTTTTGAACTGCCCCACATATAATTTAATAATTAATATTACTATACCTAAAATATATTCTTATAGGGATGTGTCTGAAATAATTATTCAAAGTGAAGCAGGAGATAATAAGCATTTCAATAGATCATTTGTAGGTGTACCTAAATTACAGCATGTACTGCAAAGGGTTGCATCTTCAAATCACACCCTGGACATGGGTGTTTGTCTAGTCTTTCATGTGTGTTGTATTGCACAGGATTTCTGCTGACCCCAAGTGAGGTGTTTACAAGTGTAATAAGCGTCTAGGACAGTGGTCTTCAACCTTTTTCATCTAAAGGACCATTTTGGTATAATACTAACAAGACGCATTGATTCATTAATTTTGCACTTCTATGTCAAGTGGAATCATTGTGAATTTGGTCTTCTCTCTGAAGTTGAATAGCTTTTGATATATAGTTTATTATTTTCTGAGCTTCAAATTCATTTGAATTTCAACAGGATGCACACAACTTTGAAGTGAACAATTAGTTGATGTCTATCATACCCATTGTATAATTTCATATCGTTAGTTTATTAGGGTATTGGTTAAACTTATGTTGATATAAACCAAATAGCATATCTCGTTATGATAGCTTAATGACTACAGTGTGACTAGCCAAGTGGGAAACGCAAGTTCAATTACCAATTCGTGTTTCAGAAATTTTGTCAAGAACAAAAGGTGTCTTCTAACAGAGAACATCAAGGGCAATGCAAAGATGCTTCAAGTTTATTGTTATGTCATTTCAATTTATAAGACAGCTTATTAGGTTATAAACCGTAATGATAAGAACTAAACGTGTTTTCACTATTTCCTAAACAAAATGTCCAAAACTTAAAAATTTTAGGATCCGGAACTAAGACATTGCCAATGCATTGCTAGCACTGTGGTAGCTTGTTGTAGAATTAAATAAAGAGCTGACAGGAATTTAGGTTCTGAAGAATTAGGAATGCAAATTATTTATAACAAAATAAAATGATACTTAAATAATACAAATAGTCAAAGACTACCGTTCGTATTTTAGACAAAAGTAAGATTTGTTTTCAGGCTGTCAGGATTTAAACAGCAGGCCACATTGTAGTTAAAATGAGTATTTGTGGGTTGCCAAACCTTAAGCCAAGCAGCCTCTGGGCCAAGGAATGAAGACCACTGGTCTAGGGTGTGGTTCAAGATAAGCACTGTTACAGGGTGGAGAGTAACTGGCTTTGCTTCGCAGTGGAAGACCTGATAAACACACACTTCCTTTTGACAACAAAGTCTCGAGTTTTAGCTTATGTACACATGTGCAGTGTGGCTTCTGAAATACCAGAAGCTAAGAGATATTATAAACTTCAAAGTAATTTCAATGGCATTCAGAGTTACAGCTCAGGAGTGAGCAATTTATCAATGTGTGGCAGGGTGTCCACTTTCTGCGAAAATGGGAAAAGTCAGTATTTACATTGGTTTGAAAAAGTCTTGGAATTTTTAGAAGAAACTTCAGAAGTTGGAGAAATGTTTGTAACTGTTATAGAGCTAGATTTTGTTCCTAAAATAACATTGGCGGAATGTTATTTTTGCACGACTTTAATTTGCTAAGAAAATATTGTTAATTTTGTCTTTATCACAGCAAAAGCAGAGAGCACACAAATTAGTAAAAGAAACTCAAGTAACACTGTTATTTAATGTTTTTGTTAAATAGTGTGAAATATTCTATAAATTTGGCCAGAAAAAACTAAAAAAGAACTGGAAAACTGAGGGAAATTTGTTTAAGAAAAAGTGGTCACTTTATGTATTTCCCCCCCACGTTTTCACACGAATAAAGAAAGGAAGGGGGGAAAAAATTCAATACGAAATACATACTTGGATAATAAGACTTGGCCTCCCAGTGCAATAGGTGAATTTATGCTTTCACACAAAGTAAAGCAAAATGCACTAACTAGAACTGTTTAAACAGCATTGTGATATTTAGTAACTCCGAAATGTAAGTACCCTAATTTTTAAATTAAAATAATGTAAAATATGAATGTTACTCTCAGTTTTTTCCAAATGTGCAAACCATGCAACGAAACATGCATTCCAAACAAATATTTAAATTACCTTTAAAATGTAATCTCCTGTAGGCATGTATATTGAATTCCAAATGCATTTTTATGTTAGCTACTAGCATATTTTTGGAGTGGTTTAATTAAAATTTTGTGGTGTGAAGTAAAAAATGTTGACTTTGCCAAAATAACAGCTACTCAGATGTTCCCTTGGTTGGTGTGAGATCTCTTAATCTTCCCACTCGTACACTATCAACAGACCTCACAGATCTCTAGGGTTTTTCCTATAAAATGTTTGGTGTGTTACCTTCTGTCTCCTGCTTCATTTTGATAGGTTCATTCAGAAATAATCTTAAAAGTGTTGCATGCTCATTCTTAAGATAAGTTAGCATGTAGTTAGGAAACTCGTGGTAGGCCAGTAACATTAAGTGAAGTAATTTAGAAGAACTCAGCCAGTTAACTTAGCATCATCTAATTTCACTGCACCCTAGACTCAAAAGAGACTATATACTGATATACTGAAGTATCGTTTTGTGACACTAATGGGATATTGCCATTCTCAACGGTACCTTAAAAAAGCAGTTCCGTCATTTGGAAGCCTATTGTTTGTTAACTTATAGCCATTCTTCCAGGCCATTTTGTTCCTTGATTGAAATTAGTGTCTTTTGTTATTACATATTAAAATTGCTAGGAAAGAAAATCTTCGACATCATTGTGATGAAATTACATTGATTTTAATAGAAGTCCGTTGATCTAATTGTCTGTTTTGTTTATACTTGCAAACAAGCAGCTTCCCATTAGTGACCTGTATTCTGTATTAAAAGGACAGATCTTTTTAGGCTTGTGCAAGCAGTTATCTTTGATTCTGTTCTTCAGGCTCTTAATTGTCGCTCAAAACTGTCCCCAGACCTTCTCAACAGCATTGTAGTCGAAGAACAGTAACAGAAATTTACCAGTAGTACCAGTGGATTAAAACAGAAGGCATTGGTGTAACTCCCTAGTGAAGTTATAGTAAAATAATTCCGAAGTGCTTTCAATGTCCTAACTACACCTTTTAATCTGTATTGGATAAAATGAATAATCTTTTAAAGTATTAGTCACTTTATTGATGCCTTCAATTTGTCATGTGATATTTCATCTAATAAAGGAAGTACAGTACTCGTTCACTGGTGTAATGGACATTGTTGCACCAGCAATTTTCTATTCAAATTTATATTGAATGAAATTTGAACTTGGTGATGAAATTTGTTATTCCAAGTACTGTGAACCAAGAATACTTGGGTGTGGGAATTACCATATAGAAATGCTTCGAGTCAAATTACGTCATGCTGAAATTTCTTTGAAAATTTCTTTCTATCAAACATTTTTCTTAAAAAAGACATTATGATTTGAATCTACACAGAATAATTAATGCACTTTTTTTTAGCGTTTGCGTTACTATGATCTGTATTGTTTTTTTAAATACCCTCATTAGGAAATCTGAATTGTTTTTAATACTAGCTTAACTGAACTGAGTATTAAGTTATGCCAATGAATTTTCAGAAACTGGATATCGGTATTCCATTCTCTCTATGAATATAAATTCCGAAGTTTATTTTGTTGTGAGTTTTCCGTTATGTTTGAAATGTTATACTATATTAATACAAAAGTATACAAATTTATATTTGTTTAAGTATGTAATGTTTTTTGTTTCTTGAAATGAAAAGTGTGTGCAAATATAAACAATTGGGGTGATGTGATTTTATGTGTTATTATTTCTATACTTCTTCACAATTTTGTCTGATAAATTGTCAAATAAAATCAGAATATTTTGTTATATGAAAGAAAATGGTAATGAATGTTTATTTTATTTGCATTTTATTTTCACTTCGTTCAAATTTTCTGTCATTTTGTAACTGAATTTTGGCCAAATTGGAGAATGATTAGTTTTTCTTGCTTTTGTTTTTAGACAGAAGTCAACAATTTTAGTAAGAAACATTAAAACAAAATAGGAATGAATGAAATTAAATGATTAAAATGTTCATTAATTATTGTAGTAAGCTCTTATATTACTGTATAAGTTTACATCATTACATATATTAACTTCACTACAGTGAAGTCAGAAGAATCAATTTGTAGATAGAAATTGTAAAATATTTTTCTTAATTAGGTGTGGTCTTGGGCTACTTTCTTCTTTGTCACTTCCAAATGTTTGTACTGTAGTCTGTATTTAAGTAGATCCTATTTAAGTTTTTCTACTCAATATGTCCAATATGAATGCCCATGTTATAGAAACAATACATTTTTTTTTTAAGTTTACTGTAGATATTTATATTTTTGTTGTAAATTTACAAAATTATTATAATTGTAAATATAAGAATTAAACAAATTGCATCTTTGATAGTATAATGAAGCTTTTGTTTATATTTACATTCATACAAAATTGTTTACACCTTATAATATGCTGCTAAATATTCCTTGAGGTCTCATTTGTAATAAAAAAAATGTTTGTTCCATTAATTTGAGAGTTATTAATAATTGCTCTGAAGTAAATATTATTCTACGTAAATTTCAGTGTCTATGATTGTGAATTTTTTTTAAATATGTGATTCAAACAAATCTCTTTTGTTTTGCCTTTTAATAAAGGTGGTTATTGTAGTCAGTTTGATCTGAAGTTAATTAATGAAGCAATAAGAACAATTTCTATAAAAATGAATGAGTACTGATACTACTTCTAAAATTTCCCAAATTTTAATTAGGGGACCTTGTTGAGTTCTACTTGTTGACAGCTACTTGGGCTGATGGGAAGACAAATTACTAAACATTAGTGCATGCTTTTTGAATTGCATGCACCTTTAAATATAATGTGGAATTACCTGAGGTTAGTTCTTTATAAATGAATGATTTCTGTCTTGTTTTATTGAGGCCCATTGTTCCAATTTGTCCTAGTGATAAAGGTTTGTTGAGCTATTCTGTCAAGTTTTGCCCTCAGGTTTTTTCACGAGTTGGATTGAAGTACTTTCTATAATAATGGTTTTGAAGACTTATTAATTTACCTGCAGTATTGTTTTTGTATTAATCACATCATTAACTCATTGTCACTAGTCAGTTGTCACTCACACACACACACACACACACACACACACATACACATGTGCCCGTAAACATGCTTATGAGATGTTCACACCCAAAAGTGCTCCACAAAAAAGTTTTGCATTTTATTTGTTTTGAAAAGTATACAATGTAAATTTTTTCAATATTTAATTTGAGTGGTAAAAGAATTTGGATGATTTTGAGTTAATTGTGATTTAAATGCATATCTCGCATATTAGCTATATATATGGGCATAGTAGTATATATTTTATGTATTCTACACTTCAACACAGAGACTTACTAGTTTGTAACACTAAATGTTCCATTACCTTCTCCACATCCTAGTATACAGTGACGTAGCGTGAGAGGAGGCAAGGTAGACAATCTCTGCCCATTTTTAAAAAATGAAAAGATTAATAGAATTTAGCACAGCATTTCTATTGATCATATTCTTCTTCATTTCTGAATCTTTTGCGGAATGGGAAGATAGAAGTCGTTACAGCGAGTCTGTGCCATGACTGCAATTAATGGAGAAGTGTGGGTAGTCTTCGGGGAGACATCTTGGTACGCCTTCCTATGCTGAAATTTCTATTCCTCGCATCCCAGAGAAGCCAAACAAGGGAGAATGAAACTGAAGTGCAGATCCTTTTCAAAGGTGTAGAGCACATCATTTCAACTACTGGGGCAGATATGTTTATTCTTTTTCCCAGATGTGTTTCAGTATGTTGTGATTTTTAACTGCACTACAGTCTTCTAAATCTAATTGTGTTATAATTAAACTTTTCGAAATAACATGTTTTGAGTTATTTAATAGATAAATATGACATTGAAAGTCTTTAACTATGGGATACCTATATTTGGAGATCACCCCCTTCAAAGAATATCTGCCCTTGGCACTGCAGTCTACCCATTTGATTTTGTCACGCTACGCCACTACTGGTATACACAGTGGATATTAGGATAATTAGTGAATGAGTGAGCTTGCTCGCTCTACAGTCCAGTTGCTGACGGAGGAGTATGGTGCTATGAGTCCTGGCTCTTTGGAGGCTCAAGGGCTCATAAGTCGTGCAGAATACCAGAAAGTTGCAGCACTCACCATGTCTGCTTCACCAGATGCTCACAAGAAAATTGCAGGTACCTTCTCATGACTGTCTGTTCAACACCAAATTAACAGAACCAGCCTGCACCAACCCTCTGATAATCCCAATGTAAATGAAATGTGGCTAATATTGAATTAATATATCTTAGTGCTTATTCAATATGACTTTCTGTATAGTAACGTATCATTAGTTGCAGTTTTTTGTTTTTCCTGAAGTAGATTTGCCTTCAGATTTTCTTTAATAATGTATGGTAGTCACCACAGTAATAATGCATTCTTTCTGTTGCAATTGTGCTGCTGTCATTTTGTTTGATTATTGTAGAAATTTTGGACAAATTGTTTAATGGTGTAATTTTCTTCCATCTGAATATCTTCAGACTCTTTTGGTTTGTGCATGACATTATTGAAATGAAAAAAATATTTTATATTGAGTTACACAATTTGTTTACAGCCTGTAACAATACTAATTAATTAATTAATTTATTTATAATTTCACAACTTCCAAATAATTTGGATCTTGTCTTGAAGAATGATTTAGACAAATTCTTTGGGCCAAAAAATCTAATATAGCGGTTCTTCATTAAGTTTTAATGAAATATGAAATTTATTGTAGCAAAACATGTTTGTATGAGAAATGAAATATTATTTTGATTATTGATTAATTCTAGTTAGATATGAACACAATAATCAGAAGAATGCCATTTTTTGAAACTTTTATAAAATCATGTAAAAGAGATTGAGGTGTTATCATGTTATAACAAACTTGTGATATTCAAACTTTTATCTAAAAGATGCTTGAATAAGTTCTCCCTGTGTGTGTGTGTTTTTTTGTAAAAATTAATGCTTAGTTTACAGTATGTGGTACACATGTCACCCAAAGTACCGTCCATCACTAGCCACTACTTTTGCTAATCTTTCTGCAAATGAATTCCACGTCGGAAAAACGATACGTCTTTTGCGGCTATCAAAGAATCAACCCATTTTTGTATCTTCATAGGAATGGACGCACTGGCTCTGCCAGGCCGTGTGCATCGAACGGAATATGTAATAATCTGAAGGGGGCGATGTCTGGTGAATACGGCGGGTGGTGCAGGACTTCCCATTTGTGTTTTCAAGTAGGTTTTCACAAGTTTTGCATCTTGTGGCCGAGCGTTGTCGTATAACAAAATCACCTTGTCGTGTCTCTGCTCGTATAGCGGCCGTTTATCCTTTAGGGCTCGGCTGAAACGTATCAATTGCAGTCGATAGGGATCTCTCATAATAATTTCGTTTGGTTTGAGAATCTCATAATAAATTGCTCGCAGCTGGTCCCATCAACTGCAGAGGAGAATCGTCGAACCATGGGTATTTGACTTTGAGTATGATGTCATGGCCGGGCTTAACTCACGATCTTTTCGGCATATGGTTATTGTACTGTATTCATTTTTCATCGCAGTCACGATAAGCAAAAAAAAAAAAAATGTTTCTTCTCTGCCTTTGAAGCAGCAGTTCACACGTGAGATAACGCCGTTCGACGTCTCTTGGGTTCAACTCATACGGCACCCAATTCTCTTGCTACTGAATCATTCTTAATGCTTTCAAACCATTTTGCCATGCCAGCTAGCATCTAACATGCGTCTTCATTACGTAATCCCTCCAATTGTTCGTCTAAACTTTTTCGGTACGCCAGAGTGTTCTTTATTTCCAAGAGCATGTTCACCGTAAGTCTCAACATTTTGTGTGCTTCAACTTCAGATTTCTTCTGAATAAAATAGTGAAATAAAATTCCCCGCAAATATCTTTTCTTGGCCCAAAACTCGACATGTTTAGCGCCCAGACAAAAATCTAGTGAAATGTAAAGAATATTTCGGTATAATCTAATAACTTCTCAAATGAAAATTGGTTTAAATATTTTTCATCACACATGTATGAAAGTGCCACTTTTCTGCACTTTTGCAGTAGTCGGAAAGGGAGCAATCACATCATCGCCATCTTAATCTTAAATTCAAATTTCAACAGAACCAACGATAATGTGCTTCAAAGTACACAAAGTTAGTTTTTGAAGGTTAAAATAGATTGACATTTTTTCCAAATTTGACATGTTTCTTTTATATATTTTAATATCAATATTTTTAATAATAGAAAATATTGCAAAAATTAAAGTTTGTAAGTAATGAATATTAATATTCCTCCAATACTTTTCTGTAATGAGAAGAGGGTTATCATGAATCCATAACGATACTTGTTTCATTACGCAAGTCATATCACCTAAATTAATAAAACTAAAGTATTGTGATATTTGCCATACATGAAAATATATCAAAACATAAATGTTAATTGTAGTTTGTAGCATAGAGTAGAAAAATGCAAAAGTGTTCATACAAATTTTCAATGCATTTCTAAAAAACTTTCAAATATCAACTTGCAAGTGGTCATATAGGTTCTTTTTACATCACAATTATTGGCCAAGTTTTTTATTTATTTTCAGGGGTGTAAAATTTTTGTGAATTATTGTTGTTTGTTAAATTAATTATAGTTACTTTTGGTTACTATTCTAACTATAACTATCATCTTTGCGTTTCTTCTATTAGTTCTATGCTAGAAACGATATTCATCTGGAATTCTGTGTTTGTAGCCTCATTTACCTGAAAACAGGATTTGACCAAATTATCTTTAACCATTTCTATCACAACAAGTTCTTTTTCTGTCTATAATGATTGTCCCTTCCTATGGCAATATAGTTGTTCTTTATATTTTGGTCCTCATCGCTCTTCGGATTGAGACATCTTAAATAAACTGCACAATTACATAATAAACCTGTTGCAGATTAAAGATAAACATCACAGTTTTCATTGTTTAACATTATTAAATAAATAGTAACCTTAAATTCAGTCAGTCAGGATTCTCAGAGAGCTTCAGCATGTGTATATTATTGTGCATTTTTGACAACATTGCATGCAAATCTTCTGAACAATAGTCTGATACTAACTAATTAAGATGAACAATGATACTCACCAAGTCAGATCCTCTTATAATTATTTAAATAGTGAACTACAAATACATTTTGTGCAACTGCAAGAGGGCAAGATTATCTTCAAAATTATTTGTTAATTGTGATTTATACTACTGCATGAAACTCATAATTCCATATGCATAATGCCTTTTGTGCTCTGGACATTTAACTAAAAATACAATTGATGTGTGTTCATTTCAGGATTTGTTTTTGGTTCAGGTCTGTGGTATAGTCAAATAACATTTGTATAATAATTGATTCTTAACTAGTATTTCAAAGAAATGTATTTATGTATTTGTAAACTTACTTGTATGAGGGTCATTATGGAAGTTTTGAAAGAAACAAAAATTAAGGATCTTAAATTCACAGTAGTTTAATACACTATTGCCTCGCACTAATCAGTACAGCATTTTATACCTTTAGACGAGATTTATTTCGTATCTAGCTTTCAAAAATTCAATGGTGGTGTAATTGCGGCTAAATATCATTGTTCAATTCTGTTTGACCGCCGACACTAACCACAAAATTTTGTTGATAATTACGTTATGAATCGCTGAATAGTCGCAGTCCCCTCCACAGAAACATTTGAGACATGACACCTGTCAGAATAAAAAGTAGGCAACATTCTCTTTCAGGCATCCCGAGGCACATTTTAGTTTTGTTTGTGAATATTCGTTTTCGTCAAAACATTTGGTCAACGGACACCAATGATCTGAATCAAAAGTATAATTGAAATTTTATTACTAGTAACGTTGTCAGACATGCGTTTAGAATTCGGCGAATCTACCGAGCTTGCCTTCGTAATATTAAACGCAAATGCGCGTTTGATGTCTGTCGTATGAAGTAGCCTTAGTAGACTTGAGAAAAATTGTGAAGGGTTTTGGCCATTGTCAACGATTCAATCTGCAGTGTCCTTAAATGTCACTCGATCGGTTTCACTTATTTTCACTTTTCCCCTTCGTTGACGATGTTTTCTCCAGTCGCTGGCCGCCGAGAGTCCACTCGATCTTCCATTGACGCTCGGTCTGTAATAAATTGTGACAACGTTCGAAGAATTATTGTGCGAGAAAGAGCAAGTTTCCCAAATACCTATTGGGGACGCTCGGGGCTTTGCGACTCGTTCAATGAAGTTTTGAAATATTGCAGCGAAGCGCTCCCCACCAGACCTTTCGTAGACGTGACGAATGCACGTCGGTCGGAACAATTGACGCTCTCCCAGCGACACCAACAATCGGAACGATATTTCTATGTAGATCACGATATCGATGAGTTGAAAAAAAAAAACTGTTTTAAGTTTGCCGACATTTTGAAATATATTATTTCCACATCAAGGCTATGAAAGTAAAAACAACACATTTTTACACTAAAAATATAACTTTACAACATGAAACAATAAACACTACAAAAAAATCAAACAAGACAAGCAAATATTTAATATATTGAACATAGGAATATACAAAACTGTAATTTAAACATAGCCTACTAAATTTGTTCCAACTGTCATAATCCCTACTTAAATGTCTTACCCGTCACCCTACACTCTACTTACCTTCTTACTACTATCACTCATGAAAGATGAGTTGGAACAAATTTAGTATGGTCAGTTTAAATTATAGTTTTATATATATTCAATTGTCTGGGTTAATATTTTGTAGTCTTTGAAACTAAAAATATTGTTTCTACTTTCACAGCCCCAGGGCCTGATTTACCTTCAAGCAAAATAAATAGTTGCTTGGGAGGGACAAACCCTTGGGGGAAAAAAATCATAAAATATTTGGAGAAAATAAGCATAAAAGAAGGGTGGGTCCCCACAGTACCTAAATTTGCTCCTGCAGAATCTGATAAGGGAATAACATATTCTGAAATATTGACAATCTAATTTTCTTTCTTTCTCTCAGTCTTTCATCTGCCCAACATCCCATGATCTTCATATGAATTTTTGTCAATGCATGCTTGTAATTTGCAGGTAATCTGGACAAGTTAAAACGTGCATCAAAATGAGACCTGTTCATGTTTGCCTTTCTCAGAAATGAAATAGTAATTATATTCATAACAGTCTTTCTCATAACTTCAGTAATGGCCTTCGTTATTGATTCTCCATAGGTTATGTTTATCTTTATTTTTATTAAAATTGAAATAGAAATTATCTGTAACAAATATTGTAAACATCTTGATCAATGAACTCAATCCTAATCAATTAATTGTCCAGTTTCTCTAGATCCATAGATTATAAAATCTGAGATTCTCTTGTTTTACTTCTGAGCAATAGATTTTTCCTCATATGAAATGTGAATCTGAAACACCGATTCTTTTTTTTAACTCACTTCTTTCTAAAATGACATATGAATAATTTATTATTTTCTTCACTCCAAACAAAATGTAAAAATTATTCCAGACTGACTTACGTTTTCAATGTTTTATGGCAATACAAAGAAACAATGAAGGCAAAAGAAACAGTGGATTTGGAACTTGCCTAACATTATTTTATCATATCATGCAAGAAGAAATACATTTTAAAATGTAACAAATGAGAACATTGAAAGGAGTGACCATGGTGCCTTTTTTTTCCTGGCTAGCAAAAACTTTTCTATTTTCCTTGAAAATTTTAAAACAGTTTTGAATTTTTCTATTCCCATCTGGATGTGTTTTTGTTTTGGGGATTCTCTTTTGCAGATAAATTTAAGTTCTTACAAAATGTGAGCATGGTTTAAACTTACTTCTGTATTTATTTAAGAAAGATGAGAAATGTACATTGTGAACTTCTTCAAAACTGTGTTTCATTTTGTGCTGTTTTGTGGAAATAATAATTCTGGTTTTGAGCAAATTCAAACATCCTATGTCTATGTATTACATATAATCAAAACAATATATTAATACAGTATGATTCACCACATTGTGCATTTCTATGTGAGTTAATTCATTGCTGGGCTTAAATTATATCTTTATTGAATGTATGCATGAAATGATTCTGTAACTTGTCTTCACATGCTGCGTGGATCAGACTTCTTTGGACGTGTCAAGGACAAAGCAGGAGATGTTGAACGTATTCTCAAGGAGAAAGATCGCCATGGTCTGTTCCACTTTATTTTAGTATTAAAAGCATTTTTATTAGTTTGTTTGAAAAGTAGTGCATGAATACTTGTATCTATTATTTATCAGCACATTTTGGATCAGCTAATGGCAATATTCAATTAAAGATTTAATAAATGTTTCTTTTTGGTGAGTTTAAATGAGAGAGTTGTTTTTCCTTCATGTTTCACATTAAAAAATTGAAAAAAAAAACATATCCTTATCAAATTATCCATTTGCATTCTATTATTCTAAGATATTGAAAACATGTTAGGCCCACCCACAATTTGAGAAAAGTTAAAAGTATTTCAAATAATCACAATTTGTTCTTTTACAGTCAATTTACATGAAATTAATTTTAATTTACAAGATTTTATCTGTTTATTTTTATTGAAAGTACGTAATGGAGTAAGGTTTTGAATTTCTCATGATGAATGTAAGAATCCCATTACACATAATCAAATAAAATAAAATCAATTTTAAAACTACTTAAAAAATTATATATATGATTAAACAACTTTTGTAGCTATTTTGCCACTATTTTTCTGCTTATTTGCCGTCAGTGGATATTCAGTAAGCAGATACATTATAAATTATGTCCCTTTTGACAGATCCATGTATGTCATTTACTTTACTGATAGTAGACCAGACATCTCCGTATATTTTTGCGTTCCTTTTAACGATTACTAATGTGCACAAAAATGTGTTGAGAATTTGTGTAATTTGTCTATAGTAGTTAACTTAATTTTCTTTAAATTATTATAGTTTGTGTTTTTTTGTTTTTTCTTAGTAGATGGTATTACTGAGAAATTAATATAGTTTTGGGAATAGTAGTTAGTTTTTTTAATAGTAGCTTTTTCTCAGTTTGTATCTTTATCATATGTTCAAACTCTAGAAATCTTCTCACCAAATTTAATTCTTTGATGCCCCTTCATTAAACTTTGTATGAGCTTTTTAGTGTAGTTCATTAAATTAGAAGTAGTATGACTTAGAAATAGTCCACAAGTAAGTGATTTGTTCAGTTCTAAAGCATTGTTTGGCGTAGTTGATTGATTTATAAATGCATTTATTACCAATTTTGTGTCTTAAAGCTATATCTAAATCAAATATAATTGCGTAGTAATTTCTTTCTGCATATAAATATTGGTGAAGGCCTATCCTTTTAATGTGGAGTTATTTGTGATCTATATTTCAAATATTAAAAAATAATCTCACAATAGTAACTAGTGAAGGGTGCATATTTTTCCAATCTGTATCTAATTATTGTGTATGTGAGCTATAGAAGTTTGTAGTAAATTGAATTTTATTTTTTATTTAGCATAATAGAGATGATATTCAATGAAAATGTGTTGTAGTTCCCATTTGATAATCTGGTTGACTTTTAGGAGCACATTTTTAGAGTTTTTCTTGTTGCAACTTAGTCTATGAATGTTGGCAGATAATGCTTGTAATAATAATTGTAATAATTCAAGAATAAAGAAAAGTGTTGCAAAATAAATTGTTAGAATGTGAATTTTTCTTTTGTATTTGAAACATTTATGAAAACATTTAAATACAAACTAACCAGAATTGAAAAAATAGGAATGTTATTTCTAATGGCGTCTCAGCATTTGGCTTGTAAATTAATTCAATTTTCAAAGAACAATTTCACTTCACTCTCGGCTATCATATAATGTACCTAATTTTACTGAATACAATATTTATTCATTAAGAAATTGAATTTGTGAACAGGTATATTGGCCAAGATGAAGGAAGGTGCAGAGAATGTGCAGACTAAACTTCAAGCCAAAGCTGAAAGTGTGGGCTTTAGGCCAGTAAATATGGATGGTCGTGGTAAGCATAACAATAAAATGTTAATATAATTTTCATTTTTTAATTATGCATTATTTCTTTGGGATTATTCACAAGCAAGTAATATAAAGAACTAAGCATACCACTTTTGCCAAGATAAAATAAATAAAATGGAATATCCAAAAATGAATCTGTGTGCATTGCTTGTTTTTTTTCTCATGGTATCTAAGAAAAAAATGTATTTTCATGAATTTGTATCATCTGACGGATTTCATAAAACTTCACTACACAAATGTGTCTGTGACATAGATGCTGCTGGTTCTCCTGGCGGGAGTGGAGGCAGTGGTGCACGGTCTGGCATTGGGGGCACCGCAGGGAGGTGGAATAGTGTGAGTGCAGAATCGGCCATGGCTTCTCCTTCCATGGAAGTGGCGCAATTGCTGCTTTCTCTTCTTCACGCATGGGGGATGGATCCTGATTTGGACAGAGTGTGTGAAACGAAGTTGGGTTTGTTACGACCTATGCTACCTGTTTCTTTTGGTGTCGTCTCCAAAGGAGGTAAGTGCATTACAATTTTGATAACTATTTGTTTTTAAATCTCATGTTTTATGACTTTAGAATTCAATGTTGTTTATGTACTAGAATAAATGAACTCTAATATAATACTTCTGTGTAAAAATTATGTTCCTTCCATTAAATAATATTTTTATCAAATTGACATTTTGGCCAATTGTGTTTTCGTGTTCAGGTTATATGTCATTGCTGCTTCCAACATGGCTTCCACAAGCCTTGACTGGTGAAACTGTTACTACAGAAACAGCACCTGCTACATTAGCGACTGGTGGAACACCTGGAGGCCTCGAAAAGGATTTACCTCCAGAATTGGTAGGCAACTCGCAATACAATTTATTTTCGTATTACAGTTTTACTTTGTCAGTGCCTGTAATTCCATATCTTTGGCAGGCTGTGGATTAGTACTCAACTTTCTAAGTTGGGTGACATCCTTGTGCAGAATCAGGGATCATTCAGTAGATTGGGAAATGATTTCCGGATTTGTTACGGGTACTGGTGTAAATGGGATATAGAATTGAAAATATGACACATAATTATAAATTTGTTTGGGGAATTGAAAATAATAATGGAGAATATTGACATGTATGAGACTGATGTAAAGGAAATGACTGATCAGATGCAAAAAAATTGTTGATAATGGAAATTGAATACTGGGGAAAGTGTTGACCTGGATTTCAGGATCATATTAGAAATTAATACACTGAAAGCCCAAAGAAAATAGAAACCTCCAAAATGGATACAACAAACAAATTATCAAGATACAAACCTTTTGTATGGAAAAATCCTGATCACCAAAGATGTTTGACACTCACCTACAAACAATACAATAAGACCTTATGATAATATATCTGTTTTATCTGATTATTTTCTGAATTGGAAGCATAGTTTGTTGATGTTGGGACACAAATGTGTGTTAGTTCCTTTACAATTGTTAAGCAGTGTATGTATAAATATTTACGCACAATGTACAAGAAAACAAAACAAAATTCAATACTTATTCCTGTCCTGAGGATAAATTTTCGCCAAACATTTGCAGGTACGGATGGAAAGATCAACACGTCTCTTCACAGCACGTGCACATTGGGAACTCAGTACTACATTAACATCGACACATCTTCTGGCAGTTGTGGCTTTGGCCAATACTCTGATGGCAATGAGCAATGCTTCTTTTGTACCTGAACAGGAGAGATCACGCAAGTTACACAGGCAAGTATAATACCGCTCTTTATTAATTTGTTTAACCCTACAGTACTCATGTCAATTTTGAAACGTCAGTAATCATGACTGTAAACTGTGGATCCACATGTAGGGTAACAAATCATGACTGTAAACTGTGGGTCCACATATAGGGTAACGAATAAAAACAAAGGGAAAGGAAACGAACAAAAAGGAATAAAAACAAAGTAGGTAAGTCAAGTAAGCTGATGTATAAAAGGAAGCTACTTACAAAAGGGTCTAGAGTGATGCACATACGTAAATGAAAAATTAATAACAATGGAAGATCTAGACCTTATATGTCTGGATAAGTGTTTCCAAGTTTGTCTGCCATATTTGTGAATTTTTTGACAAATTGATCAGGATTAAAAAATAAACAAAACTCACCACGCTTAATTCAAAACTCACCACACATTTCCAAATTTCACTAACTTTATGCACATATCCTTTATTTTCTGGATATAAAGATTCTGAGCAAAAGATTTAATGCTGGTAGTCAGTCCGCACTGCCCTCGGTGGCTTATTGGTTAGCATGCTCGCTTTTTGTGGCGCAACCCAGGGTTTGATTCTTGGCCAGGGCAAAATTACAACTGTGTACTTTCCTTACAAATGTCCCAGTATCTATTGCTGTGTGACAATGAGAAGTCCCACTCTGAGGTTAAGAAGACCAGTATGTATGGAGGAATGTTTTCATGCTAACCCTTATCCCATGGCCAAGGGGCTGGGCCACCACTGGTTGCCCGTGGCCCATATCGGGCTGTCGAACCAAAAGCAGGACAGTCAGGTTGGACTAGGAGTCTGCAATTGCTGATAACTCCAATGTCACTGCATTGATCTAGTTGAAATGAAAGAATTGTTTAAAACTACTGTTTGTAGGGAGGTAGTGAAAGTATGTGATTCCTAAGCTCAAAGATATTAAAAGGAAAAGAGAAATGAATTTGTGCAGACTGAGAGTCCACATGTGACCTATGTAGGTCTAATATGCCCTTGTAATTGTCAAATTATTTTGAAAACATTTTATTTTGGGTGATATTTCATTTAATTCCTATTGAGCAACCAATGGTGTGAAAATTTTTTAGAACAACCCGAATATTACCTGAGAACTTCAAAAATAGAGATGTAGTCAGGTGAGCTACAGAATCTTGAAAACCTGCTTAAATTTTTTAAAGTTGCTAACAAAGCCATTCTTCATGGCACTATGTTTATCTTCTAGTGAAGTATATGTAAATATCAAAAAAGCATCCAATCCATGATTTGCTTTTTTAATATCCTGTAAAAGAAGCCCAAAAATAGTCAGGTCTTAATGAGTGTCTGAATCATAGTAAGCATATTATATATTATATAAGGAAAGTCTCTTCAGTGAACTGAATCAGGACCTTGTATTAAAAATTGCAATTATGTTGGTAGCGACCAGATTTTTCGGAAACCAGTGAAGGGCACAACACTTCCAATATCTATAATGATATGGCAAGTGCGCAATTTACGTTTTCCAGCTAGAGCTCGTGCTACCAACATATTTTCTGCTGCAAGCACTCTTACCAGCAAGGTGCCATTGTAGAGAGACTTATCATTATTATTATTACTAGCAGTAGTAGCTTAGTTGAAGTTGCAGCAACTTGCTGAATGACACTGCACAAGGCAGATTCAATTTTGGAAGACTTCCCATCCTTCGTTAATATTTTCCTTTTCTATACAAATAAAATAAATCATAAATAGTTTTCAGCAAAGCTCTGAAGTATCACACTAAACCCTTAGATCTAACATTACACATCATTTAAGATCTTTAATTTCAGTTGAAACGGGAAAGATCTATCTCTGTTTCAGTATTGCATGTAGTAAAAGTAACTATACTACGTATACTCATACTGCACCCAAGTCCTCTTGCTTTTAGTATCGAATTTAATACTATGCGTGTATTGGAATTTAATGTACTAGTAGGAAATTAGCGGGAAATAATCTCGTTCGAGGTTCTCGAGATGACACGACGTCACAACTTATCTCCCGTACTGTGATCTGGGGGATATTGTTGGAATTATCAGCACGATATTTGTAAGGGAGTATGCAGCATCAGATTTGAGGGCTCAATTGCCCAAATTCACCACACTTTTTACTTTCTCACCCCGACGTACGTAGGAAGAGAAAGTGTTGTAACCGTGTACTGGAAAATGGCGATTTTCAGACAAAAAAAACTCATTGCCGGGCTCTGGTAACGAAAAAAGTGGATAAATCTTGTTCCTATAAGTATAGTAAAAGATTTCCTCTAACACGTTGTTAAGACAGAATCCATGTTTTGTGGGTCCTTGATACCGAAAATCCGATTGACTGCGAAACGTCTGTCTATGAGCCTGTGATCATTAGCGCCTAAACAGTTAGTGGATTTTCTCCAAAATTGATATTCCCCTATCGATCTGAATAACTGGTGGTGTGGTGCTAGAAACTGCGGTGGCGATGGTGTAACGGTTAGCATACCGGATCACGTTCGCGGGTTCAAATCCGATCGAAACCGTGGGTTTTTAGGGCGAAATAATCCTTCGTACGCCTTCCTTCTGTGAGGAAGTAAAGCCGGCTGTTCCATGTTAGTAGATTTACTGCATGTAAAAGATCAAGCCTAAACGAAACCTCTGAGCCGAATTGAAATCGCCTGTTTCGTCGTCTTTACTCCGCTAGTTGGTGAAAGGATCGTAGCGAAATTTGCGAGGTCAGACGGAAGAGCAGGCCTCATGGCTTGTGTCTCGCTACGTAAAATAAGGCATCTTGTGTAATTTTGACGGTAAGGCGAAACCGTTTATTACGAGCTTCAACAGCCTCTTTGGAAAGTAGACCCACTTGCAACAGGGCATTCTCCACCACAATGGCACCACGAATTAATAGCTTGTGAACTGTTGGCATGATCACATGCCATGGATATAACTGTATATATAACTTTTCTGTCTTCATAGTATATTCTGAAAATTTTCTTATGTTAATATTATGCCCAGAACATATGGTGTTTAATATCACTTTGAAGCAATATATTCATGTGAAATAAATTCTGGTAATTTCTTATGCTAGTTCTGGATCCATAAAAAACCTTCTAGTGTTAATTTTAATGATATTCCCAATCAGGGTTCATCTACAAAGAAACCTTTTTTTATTTTTCAAGTTCTCTTGGATTTGTAACTTTCTCTGCTTCACTAGTGCATTTTCATTGTCTGATTTCATCTGCCTTTTTTTAACAGGCAGTTTACATGAAAGATGCAATAAACTTTCAAATAAGAGAATTCTAGCATGTAAGATCCAATAATCCAAACTTAAGTGTTTCTAGTTTAACCTGTATTTTGACTGATAAATTGTTGAACGTTTTTCTTGTTGAACCACAAATATAACATCTCATTGTGGAAGTTGTTTGAATAGTAGCATTACATACTTCAGCATCGATCATGGTGAGCATCTGAGTGTGTGTGGCTGAAAATAATTTGCCTGGCAATGTCACTTTTGTGTGTTGCAAGTAAAGGCGCGTTTACACGGAGAGAGATTTCTCTCCTAACTTTCCGGAACTGGTTACGAGACACGTGTAAACTCTCAGGAGAGCGATCTTCTCTACCCGAAGGGGGGAAAAAGAAAGAAAAAAAAAAGAAGAAAATTTTCTTGGGGAGAGGGCCCGGCTCCCTCATATTAAAAATATCTTCTGCCCTGGCAACAAGCCAACTCTTACTTCCTCAGACACTTCCCACTTTCAAAATGTTTCTGACTGTTTCAAGCAGACTTTGACAGCTGAGAAGAGCGGCATGATTGTCAACTGACCTGCCTCAACTTTCAGAAAGAGACTGACTTCTCTCGTACTCTTCTATGCAAAATTTTATATATCAACTTGCCATCTAACCCGACCTGCAAAATACACTAAGTGGTGACATGTTACGGGAAAACTCCAGAGCTTGTCATAGATGCATAATGCTCACTTTCACTCCCTCGCCAGTTCGTCACCCCACGCTTATTTTAAAAGCGAGCATAAAATGTTCATCATTGTCTCAGAAGTACGGAAATATCATAGACTTATTTTCTCGTAAACGCAAAAAGCCCTCGAACATTAATCTTTATCAAGAGGGAATCATGATATTCATTCTATAATCTTTTTTGTATAGACAGTCTTTCCCATGCCCTTCATTGTTGTGCAATCTTCTCTCCAGAAGGTCGATTATAATAAGGACTTTATCTACAGAACATGCATTTATATCTCTAGCAGGGGTTATAAGCATGATGTTCCACAGCATCAAATATAAATGAAGGCAACTCAATGGGAAAAATATCACATTTTCAGCAAATACCGCCTCAGATGAATGATCCACACAGATGTACTGAATAAGAAATCCGGAACGCTAACGCCTAACAACAGTTTCTTCACAAATGAAATCAATGGTGTGTTTGATTAGACAATTATCTACGCAATTAATAATTTGTTTATATTAAGAGCTGAAAAACATTTCCTACTTAAGACAATCTACAACCACTTATTAATCAAAAGAATATTGATGACCCCACACACCATCATTTAGTGATCTTAAATTAACATCTTTTCACCTAGCGCCTACTTTAGAATTCAGTCGGGACAACCGATCCCTACCATCCTGGTCTTCAGCCACCAAGATTTTTTGCTTTGGAGCGTAACATTGCACTAACAATGTAGCCTCAAATCATTAATTCTCAGTAACTATAAAGCTGTTATTCCTCGTATACATTATTATGTATCATCATACTGCGAATTATAGCCTGAGCTCACACCTTGCAATATAACCCCTCTATTAACCTGAAGTCCTGGAAATGACAGCTTTTAGTATCAGAAAAAAATTGCCAGATTGAGCATTCCAGAGGATCAGCTACAACAACTTAGATTAAAATACTATTACGTTTCTGTCTTCTCCATGCAAGACAGATTACGTTTAAGAAAAATCCAAAGGCATGCTCGAGTTGTGTTTTGTTGGATTTAAAAGAAACAAACACATATTCAGGTACCGACCACTCCTATGCATCTCATGCTCTCAAACGTGTATTGGAATTTAAGAGGAAAAAGTTTCTTCCCGTACTGAAGTAAGGGAGAAAAATAGAATGTTATCAGCAAAATCTTGAGAATTTGCCTTTTGTCTTCGAGTTAACCGGGATAGAGGACTAACACTCAGTTTATCCAGCCCTGGACAATGCCGATCCTGAATCAAAGCAATCCGAGTATCTCGCAGAACTTTGTTACATCCAAGTGTGGTTCCCAAACAGTAAAGAGATGAGCACCCACGTCCCAGATAAATCAATGCTCGCTCGATCGTCACACACTTCGCAGATTGTGGTGGTTCTCGAACGCCGTTACCTGTGACGAGATGGTTCTGTGACTCTGGGGATCTATGCAGTCGTATGGAGATGAGTCAACGGCAAGAATTTGAGAAAATTCACAGCACAGGTGTTATTGACTCATACACAATAATTTGTAATTAACATTCTAGTGTAGTAAAGGGATGAGAATGGAAAATAATCCTGCAGCCACTCCTCAAAGAACACACTAAAGAAAGAATGAACCCTGAAGATAAGAGAAACCCATCACTTATTAATGAAACAAAAATAACTTTGAGTCAAGGCTACATAAATCAAAGAAAATTACACGTGCATACTTACACAAGTAAAAGATACTTATGTCACCACATGAAATCATATATACGTAATTAAGACTTCTTTCTCTTGAGACTTTTTGGTTTCTATGCTTACTACTTAGATGGAGTCATGCCTGTACCGTATTTGCGTCGATGCGTTATAAAGAGAAAAGTGTTGTATGTATATACAACTTACTTGATTGCAAAACGGTGTATTCTAATTGTAATCTTAAACTGTCCATTAACTGGAAAATTGGCAGACATAACAGGCAATGTGAATTACTCTATTGTAATACTACACAAAAAAAACTCATTGCAATCTTGTAATCCTCTGGGCTCTGGTCAACGCAAAAAAATAAGTGGATAACAATTCTGAAACATTTGTTCCTAATTTAATATATATAGTATACAAGTAAAGATTTCAGCTACACTTAACTACGAGAGTTGTTGTTAAGTTACACAGAATCCATGGTTTTGTGGGTCCTTGATACTGGAGAGAAAAATAAAATATAAGGCACAAAATTCAATCACGATTGGTTTGTGCTCTCGACGATAAGAACGAAATCATTGATTAGCCTAGTGATTAGTCCCTGTTTGAATTTATACTATTAGCGGGCGGTAAGGGTTTCTTAGATGCGAATTAAATACAATTTTTAGA